CAGTCGTGCTTGTGTGGATAGGTTGCGCTTAGGGGACCAAGTGCAGCGGCCGAATAGATCTATAGCATCCACATTAGCCAACAAGCATTGGATGGTTGTACAAGACTATGTCAAGGTTGCTCAACCTCAATTTGACTGGGATAGGAAGGTGATGGTTCACAAGTTACCCAATGGAAGGACCGTTAGACTGCAAAAGTTTAAAGCGAGCAGGCTAGTGGAAAACTATGGGTGTATGTGTGCATCTTCTTTCCGTAACTACTATAAACAGTACCGTGAGGAGGGCATGTACCTAGTCTTTGTCTCTGAGAAAGGCGAGGTCGTAAAATCACCCTCAGAGATAGAAGCAGTCGTGCGCAATATCCAGACCTTTTTTAGGAGCCCAGTGGTGTGGTAGAAAGGGAGGTGGTCCATGTAATAGAAGTCGTTCCCAGTAGCGAAGTACCTAAAGGATGAATCTATAGGATGTCTCTTGCAGAGTTAGGTGAGCTCCGCCGCCAGCTGAAAAAGCTCTCAGAGAAGGGATGGATTCAGGCTAGTACCTCTCCTTATGGTGCACTTGTCCTATTCGTTCCTAAGAAGGAGGGTACCTTAAGGAGGTAAATTGATTACAAGGGCCTCAATGTCATCATCATAAGGAGTGCGTAGCCCCTACCCCACATCGACGACCTCTTGGATAGAGTGCAAGGATGTCAGTACTGAAGTCCGAAAACCACGAGATTGTCATTACGCATGAGGATCAGCACAAAACCACTTTTCAAACAAGGTACGGTTTGTACGAGTTTGTGGTAATGCCTTTTGGTCTATGCAATGCTCTTGGGACATTCCAACACGCAATGAACCGGATCTTTCATGAGTACTTAGACAAGTTTATCGTCGTGATATGCTTATCTTCAGTAAGACTATAGAGGAGCATGTTGAGCATATGAAAACAGTTCAAGGTCTCCTAAGACAGCACCAGTAGAAGGTTAACTTGGAGAAATTCAAATTTGGTCGCACCAAGATCCTGTATCGGGGTCATGAAATTTCCGCGGATGGTTCGAGGCCAGATGATGCGAAGGTGGCCAACATACGTGACTGGCCCAGACCTTAGTCTGTGACTGAGGTAAGGTCATTCTTGGGGATGACAGGCTACTATAGACCGTTTGTGAAAAACTAGAGCACTATAGCCTCCCCATTAACTGACCTCACACGCCTTTACACCCTTTGGGAGTGGACAGAAGAGTGTGAGGTAGCCTTCAAGAAATCGAAGTATGCCCTAACACACTACGAAGTCCTTAAAGCCTGAACTTAAGCAACCCTTTGTGGTAACCTCTAACACCATCGAGCAAAAAAATGACATCTCAAAAGCTAGCTAAATCTACGTATGAGCACGAACTCCATGCTCTTTATAAAGCACAGGTCCACTGGAGACACTATCTCCTAAGCAGATTCTCCTATTTGAAATCTGAACATGAGACCTTACGCTCGATTAAAGCCCGTACTCTCAAACGCACTCAAGAGGTGGATTCAAGTGATAGACATGTATGACTTTCAACATGACCCACTTAAGGGATAGTACAATAAGGTGGCTGATGCACTATCATGTAGAGCAGACTATCTGGGTGCGCTAATAACTGAGTTTGACATATTTGGCAATGTAACTCAATCTATGGTGGAAGCCTATCAAGAGGATGCAGTTTTCTAGTAATCATTCGCAAACTGGAAGCGAGGGATAAAAGCACTTCCGACGAGTTTGTACTGGTTGAAGGGTTGTTGTTCCTTGAGAAGGCGGGGAATAAACGACTTTGTGTGCCTGAGGGTGAGTGTCATGACGCAGCACGTCATTTTGGATTTAAAAAGACTGCAGCTAACTTGATACAAAACTTTTGGTGGCCCACAATGATGAATGATGTCAAAAAGTATGTAGAGACTTGCCAAGTTTGTCAACGTGACAAGCCTAGGACGCAAGCACCGCCTGGACTGCTCAAGCCTTTGCCTATTCCTGCTGGTCCCAGTCAGAGTGTGTCCATGGATTTCATGGATATACTCTTGTGACCAGCAAGAGCGGGAAAAGACACATCTTTGTCATTGTAGACCGATTTACCAAGTACGCCAAACTAATCACCATGCCCGAAACTGCTAAAATTGATTACGTCATCAAGCTATTTCTAGACAACTAGGTACACAATTTTGGTCTCCCTACGTCTATTGCAAGTGATAGGGATGTGAGATTCACTAGTAAACTGTGGCAATCCACCCAGCAGATGGGCACCTGACTGCAAATGACATCAGGGAACCATCCTGAGACAAATGGTCAGGCGGAACAGATGAACCAAGTAGTGCAGCACCTGCTTCGTCATTACATAAAGCCAAGTCAGGATGACTGGGACGAGAAATTCTCTCTCGTCGCCAGCCTGTACAACAACGCTGTGCATAACACTACTGGCATGACTCTCAACCAACTGCGTCTTGGTTGGAAGCCCATATCCACCCTAGATTTTCTACTACCTGAAAATCAGCCATCTGCAGCACCTGGCAACATAGAGTTTGCTCTCAAGTATGAACAGATGTTGCAACAGGCTGTAGAACAAATTAAGAAAGCTCAAGATGCTATGGTGGCATCTGAATCCAAGCACATAGCCATCTGAGTCTCAGGTAGGAGAGCAAGCGTCTTGGTTGGAAGCCCATATCCACCCTAGGTTTTCTACTACCTGAAAATCAGCCATCTGCATCACCTGGCAACATAGAGTTTGCTGTCAAGTATGAACAGATGTTGCAACAGGCTGTAGAACACATTAAGAAAGCTCAAGATGCTATGGTGGCATCTGAATCCAAGCACATAGCCATCTGAGTTTCAGGTAGGAGAGCAAGTATGGGTCAAGTCATTTGGACTTGGTCAAGAGTTGGGAGTCTCACGAAAACTGATGCCGCAATATTTCGGTCCATGGGAGGTCCTAGATATAGTCGGATCAGATAGGCGGACCGTCCTATGTAATTCCCATCCCTGCTCGCTTACGCACACACCCACTCTTTCACGCCTCCAAGCTGGCACCTTTTGCAGAAACAGCCCAGTTCCCTCCAGACAATCAATGCTGCCCCCAACCATGGATGGCTAAGTCGACATCGACAAAATCGTGGGGCACAGAGTGATTCCTGTGCCTAAACCTCCCGGCAGAGGCCGACCTCCAAAGCCAAGGATGCAGTACCGTGTCAGATTCAGACACCATACTGATCCAAGTGAAGATCGGTGGTGTACCAGAGAAGAACTCCAGCAAACAGCTCCCCAACTGATTGCAGGATATGAGAGTGGACTCAAGGCGAAGATGCCTGCAGATTAAAGGACTTCTCGGGGGACTATCGAAGTAAAGGAGGGCATGCGAGGATTTAGCTCCTCGGCAGGCCTAAGGGGCCCCCTTTTTCAAGTGTGTCCGCCCTAAGTGAAGGCGGGCCTGAAAAATCACGAGAGCCCCATTGCTGTCAATTTCGTATTTGGGGTTCAGACAATTGTGTCGCGTCAATTGGTTGAGGAAACCCATGCCACGAGAGCAAACTTTCCACGGCCTTCTAGTCCTTTTCTGAAAAGCAGGCCCTGGGCCACATCTGCAGCAATATACACAGGCAGTTGGGAGGCGTAACCGAACAAGGCCCAGCTACCTGGGGCCTACCGGAAGCTTCTGGACGCAGGCCCAGCCCAGCCAGGCTGCAGGCCAGGCCAGACTCTTTCCATATAGGAAAGAGCTCCCTGCCTGGCAAAACATTCGGCCACTTGCTAGTTTGCGGCATCGCTGCTGGAGCGGCAAGGTGCAAGCATGTGCGGTCGTGTAGGAGGAAGAGCGCTGCTGAGGGCAGCGCCATAGCCCAGCTTCCATAGCTGGCAGGGGCTTGGACGTACAGCAAGAGGTAGTGGTGGTCTTCGTGTATGAGGGAGAATACGTTCAAGTCAAGGGGGGGGGGGGGGGGGGGGGGGGGGGAGAGAGGGAGAGAGAGAGAGAGAGAGATGAGGATGATGACATGAGGGCACATGCCTGGTATAGGTGATAGTCTGCATTGGGTGACATCTTCATCTACTTCAGTGGCTGCTGACGTCAACAGTTGCATTGTCAATTCGTAGGCAGATAGTAGCTGTGTGGGGGTAGTCTGGGCGCTCGGGCCTGGACTCTTATGTTGGTGATGGCGAGAGTAAGCTCTCATTGACATTCAGTTTCAGTGTTTCGATTCTCCATTGGTGTATCACTGGTGCACTGCTGCTTTCTGGACACTGGAACTTTCTGGCTTTCGATGTGATGATGCAATCTGGATTCTGTCATCTCGCTGTTTCTCATTTTCCTTGCAGTCTTGTGCCTGCTTTGCACTGTTTGCAACTCTGCATGTCTGCTAGTTGAATGTGCTTGTTGATTTGCTGCAAGACAGGTGCTCTGCTGCCTGAACTACAAAGTGCAAAGCAGGTAAGCGCCTGCCAACACCCCCACCCGACCCCCCACCTCCCCATTTATTTTTATTTTTTACTTTTTATTTTTTTTGGGTCCGGACATTTTGTACCCCCTGGCACCCATCCAGACTGTCCGGGCCCGATGATCTCTGGGTGTTCGGTGATGTCCGGATCGGTCCAGACACTAGTCCGGAAGTGTCCGGTGTCCGGGTCCGCGGTTACCACGTGTTGAACGCTTCATTTTAACTCGGAATGTGTCTTTGCACTATGGGTCCATATACTTTGTTTTTTTTAATCGCTGAATTTTGCACCAAAACTGTCGGCGAAAACAGTGAATTTTGGGCCCTTCGGGCCTCCGTTAACCGTGTGTCATGTCAAACCCACAACTGGATGGCTGTATGGTTCACCTGCAAGGGGGAACATCAACGATCGTATCGAAAGAAAATACAAATGTGTTTCACTTCCTACTAACCAGCAAGCAATGGACATACAAAATCTTACAAAGCTGGTTGACAGAGTGGGGGGGGGGGGGCGGCTTTGGATGAATGCTGTCGGGAGAGTAAACTTGAGGAGGGGGTAGTTATTATCTTACCAGTGTCCAGCATCCAAAAATCTCCTTGTCTGTCTTGGATTGCCAAACATGGTACACAAAAACACACAAAAGATGCACACAACATAGAAGTAACTAAACATGATGTTCACATCCACACTGCAGACAACACAGAGTACAGAAAACAAAATACTAAATAGTAAAAAATACACCAATAAACAAGTAGACGAATGCCACGGCAGTCTGCCATGTTAAGTCATGAAGTAACGTAAACTGACTATTGAAGAAGAGCATAAAACAAAACCAAAAACCAAGAATAAGAAAAACCGCCTTGTCCCAGCCGTAGCGCAGTCGAAATGCCGAGGTAAACAGTGCAGACAAATCCAGAAAACGATACTGACTTAATCGGATATTATATTATGAAAGCTTTAGACGCGGGAAAAAGCAGAGAACAGTCGATGAATATACATTAAGTCAATGTAAACTATACAGTACTGTATCTTGACTAACAAACCAGAGCATAGAATAAACCTAAGGGAGAATCAACCTGCTCGCAACACTAGGGAGAAACAGATACAGCTATGGAGGGATCTCATTCTGAATTACTGCAAACATTACAAGGTCTTTGTGATCGATGTGGAAGGGGACTTCCCCTTATTCTCCAACTCAGAAATCCAACAGCAACAGAGGCAAAGAGGGTTTTTCCTGTCAGCCTTGGTATCGAAAGGGCTGTCCGAGTGGTTGGATAAAGTGCAGAGGCGATGCCTAATCTACCAATGCAGGGTCGAGTAGTTGGCTGACTACATTTACTCGGCTGATTCCAATACTCTGGTGGGTGGGGTGCTACCATGAAAGAGTTGCGGTCAGGAGACGACGTCCAAGGAACAGATCTAGAGGGTATTGACATCAACATCCCCCCAGAAGCTATGAAGGTACTTGAGCAGGGGGGGAAAGCGGTTCTATTCAGAAAAGCATCAACAGATGACAAAGGAATCAGTTCTTGAATTGATGGCACCAGCCAACTGTGTGAACGATGTAGTACTGATTGGCGTACGGATATTATAGAAATACAATTAGTAGGAACATATATATACCTCAATGCAAGGAACATGAGCGATAGAAAAATGACAGAATTCCAGAATGCAGAATCACATTGAAAGCCACAAGTCGAACTCTCCAGAAAGCAGAGATGATATTCCACCAACGGAGAACCAAAGCACCGAATCCAAATGACAATGAGAGCATACTCTCGCTACCACCATCCAGAGCCCTTCCTCCTACGTCAGCACAGCAACAACCCAAGTACATGAAGATCTCGACCATGCAGACCATCGCCAAGACCAAGTACGTGCCCTCACATCATCATTCTCATCTCTCTCTCGCCCTCGTCTTCTTCACCCACGTCTCCACTACCACAAAGACCACCACCCGACCCCTGCAGACCTTCTCCTATGTTGCAGCGCCCTTCTACCTCGCGACCGCGCTCGCGAATCCACACCGGCGCAACACGCCAGCATATCCAGCAGTGCTGCCGCCCGCTCCCATATGAAAACTGGCTGCCTCGTTCCCACTCACTTGCACCGTGAGACCGAGTTTCCAATAGCTTCAGTCTCGGTCAAAGTGTCTGCGCCCAGGCCTGTTCAGACAGTGTCCTGCGACCAAATTGGTTAGGCAAGCCCAACCACCTAAGCACAAACGTGCGGTGTTCCCTGCTTTCACCACGTTGCTGGAAGAGCCTGGAAGGCTCACAACTATTTCAGATTCTCATGAGCAAGGTGTATGTAACCAACTGGTGCATGGCAACTGTCTGGTCCCCAACAAGATTGCAAAATTTGACGAGTTCAGGGCTCATTGAGATTCGGGGGCCCGCCTTCACTTAAGGCGGGCACGCGTTTGCTGCAGCGGCCTTATGCCGATATACGGAGTGGGTAAAATCCTCTCACTCCCTCCTCCTTCAGGTCGATAGTCCCCTGACAAGTCCTTATACAGCAGGCTGCTTTCCTTTCAAATTTCTTTCATAACATGAGATAATCTGGGAAGCAGTCTTCATTAACTCTTCTTTTGTGAACCACCAGTCTTCTTTAGGATCAATATGATGTTTGAGCCACACTCGATACTGTACCTGTGGTTCGGGAGGGTGTCCCCTGCCTGGAGTCTTGGGCACAAGCATCAGCTTGTGCTCAACAATTTCATCAATGTCCACGTGTCCATCCATGGTCGAGGGAAGCATTGATCGCCTGGACGGAAACAGATTGGTTTCAGGCGAAAGATGTCAGTTTGGATGCATGAAAAACAGGGTGTGTGTGAAGGTGACAAGGGATGCGAATGACATATTGAGGGACCATCTGGTTGATCTCCTACTATATCAAGAACTTCCCAGGGTCCAAACTATTGTGGCATTAGTTTCCTACATATACCCAATTCCTGACCCAGTTCAGATTATTTAACCCATACTATGTCCCCTACCTGAAAGGAAAATGGTCATTTGTGCCTATTCTCAGATGCCATCATGGCATCCTGAGCGTTCTTGATACTTTCTACACCCTGTTGCAGCCGCTCCTCATATTTGACAGCAAATTCTATGCTGCCTGGTGCTGCAGTGGGCTGGTTCTCAGGCAACAGAAAGTCAAGAGCAGATCTGGGCTTCCAACCAAGATCTAACTGGTTGGGAGTCATGCCGGTAGCGCTGTGTGCACAGCATCGTTGTACAGACTGGCGATGTGAGGTAACTTCTCATTCCAGTCATCCTGACTTGGCTTGACATAATGTCGAACAAGTGGTGCACGACCCGGTTCATCTGCTCTGCTTGGCCATTTGACTCAAGGTGATTCCCTAATGTCATTTGCAGTTCCGTTCCCATCTGCTGGGCTGTGCTCTGCCACAGTTCACTGGTGCACCTGACATCCCTGTCGCTCACAATGGACTTCGAAAGACCAAAGCCATGCACCCAGTTATCCATAAACAGCTTGATGACGTGGTCAGTCTTAGCGGCCTCTGGCATAGCGATCAGTCTAGCGTACTTGCTGAATCTGTCCACAATGACGAAGATGTGACGTTTTCCTGCTCTTGCTGGTCACAAGGGTATCCATGAAGTCCATGGACGCACTATGACAAGGGTCTGCAGGGAGTCAAGGACTTCATAAGCCCAAGAGGTGCCTGCGTCCTTGGCTTGTCACGTTGACAAACCTGGCAAGTCTCTACATACTTTTTCGCATCATCCATCATTGTCGGCCACCAAAAACGCTACACTAAATTTGCTGCTGTCTTTTTATAACCGAAATGTCCGGTTGCATCATAACACTCACCGAAAAATAAACTACGCAAAGACTCTCTACACGAAATACACAAACGATCTATTCCCAACCTTCTCAAGGAACAGCAAGCCATCAACCAGCACAAACTCGTTGGATGTGGCCTTATCCTTGACCGCAAGTCGCTAGCACACCTAGATAGTCTGCCCAATGTGATAGTGCGTCAGCCACCTTGTTATACTCTCCTTTCAAAGGGTCGAGCTTGAAATCGTACATATCGACGACTTCAATCCACCTCTTGAGTGCAGCGGAGAGCACAAACTGTGTTTTGATCCAATGCGAGATCTCGTGGTCAAATCCCACATAAAAGAACCTGCCTAGGAGGTAGTGCCTCCAATGGACCAGCGCTCTGTAATGGACATACAGCTCTTGCTCATACATGGACCTAGCTAGTTTCTAAGATAGCATCTTTTTGCTCATATACTCGATCGGCCTCAGCTTTTTCCCCTCCTATTGGCTGGCCTTTGTGGTCACTACAAAGGGCAGTTCAGGATCCGAAAGTTTGAGGACTTCGTAGTGTGTCAGGGTATACGTCAATCTCTTGAAGGCTGCCTCGCACTCTTCAGTCCACTCCCATGGGGTGCCAAGGCATGTGAGGTCAATTAGAGAGGAAGCTATAGTACTAATAGTTCTTCACAAACAGGCACTATTAGGCTGCCATCCTAAGAGAATGACCTTACCTCGGTCACAAACTCAGGTCTGGGCCAGTCATGTATGTTGGCCACCTTTGCGTCATCCGACTTCAGACCATTCGCATAGACCTCATGACCCAAGTACAAGATCTTGGTGCGTCCGATTTCGCATTTTTTCAAGTCAACCTTGTACTGGTGTTGTCTTTGAAGCCCTGGCACAATTTTCACGTGCTCAGCGTGCTCCTCTACAGTCCTACTAAAAATGAGGATAGCGTCAAGGTACACAACAATAAAAAATCCGATTCATTAAGTAATGGAACGTCCCCGGAGCCTTGCATAGACCAAAGGGCATCACCACAAACTTGTACAAACCATACCTGCTCCGAAAAGCGGTTTTGTGTTGATCCTCAGGTCTAATCGCAATCTAATGGTATCCGGACTTCATATCTATCTTGGTGAAGTACAAGCATCCCTGCACTCTATCCAAGAGGTTATCGATGCGTGGTAGGGGTTCCATCTTCTTAACGGTGATGGCATTGAGGCCCCTATAGTCAATGCACATCCTTAGGGTCCCCCCTTTCTTTGGGACAAATAAGACTGACACACTGTAGGGGGACGTACTTAGCATCCAACACTTCTCTGTGAGCTCCTTGAGCTGGCAGCGAAGCTCATCTAACTCCGCAGGAGACATCCTGTATATCCGCCCTCTAGGAACCTTGTTACCCGGAACGACTTCAATCGCGTAGACAACCTCCGTTTCTACCACACCCCTCGGCTCCCCAAAGACGTCTGAATATTGTGCAACTGGGGGGTGATTTTACGGCCTCCCCTTTCTCAGAGACAAAGACTAGGTACATACCTTCCTTGTGATTCTTCTTGTAGTAGTTGCAGTTGTAGAAAGATGACACGCACATGCAACTATAGTTCTACACTAGTTTGCAAGCCTTGAGCTTTTGCAGCTTCCATTTTGCAAGTTGTGAATCATCACCGTTCTATCCAAATCGAACTAAGGCTTAGCAACGTCGAGGTAGTGCATGCCTAGAAACATGTCAAATGGCAGATCGTCGCTTCCAAGATCTTGTGTCGCAGTTTCCCCCCTCCATAAGAGAAGGTCCAAACTACGTCCTT